CCCCCCCCACCCCGGAGAACTTTAAAAGCTCCAGCGTCCAGTCCATGAAATCAACCTGGTAGAGGACAAGCGGTGATGAGGTCCGAAGACTGCTGGTCACCGACTGACTGAGGTCACTGAGTCTCAGGAATCAGGAAGGGAACGCACGTTAAGGCAAAGCCCAGCGCGCTTCCAGCCTTCAGCCCGAGCTGCTCCCTTGGCCTGGATTACCTGTATTTCCCTTCCTTTAGACAGCCAGAAAGCCTTCCCGAAACTGCTTGGCTCCACAGGGGCTCCCCTCCGGAACAGGCATCACAACTTCCCCATCTCGCCAGGATTCCCCTGCGCTCCAGCTGACTACAAACGGGGCAGTCCTGCTCGCTGCCCTCTTAAGAAGAACCAGGGTGTGCACGGAAGACTGCAAGAGCAAGGTTAGGTCATAACAGTTGGCTGGGGGCCACCCACTTGGCCAGAGAAGAGCCTCCCAGAACGACGAAATGGGGAGGGGCCTGCGAGAAAAGCCTTCCTGTATCAGGTGTCAAATTTTTGCTGCAGGGTAAGGTTTGTTTTTTTAAAAAAGATGACGGGTAAGGGGATCTTAACCCTTGATTTGGTGTTGTCAGCACCACACTCTCCCAAGTGAGCCAACCAGCCGTCCCTTGGGGTGAGGTTTCAAGAGCCAGGAGCTAGCAGAAGCAGGCAGAGGGGCGGCACCCACACGGGGTCCCACGTCCAAGGGCTTCCCAGAGGAACCCAGTCCAGCATTGCTGACCAGGATATAAACCATTTCAAACAGAAGGTATTCTTCAAAGGCATCTCTGGGGTTTTGTTTCTTCCAGCATAATTTGACAGTTTTGATATTTCCATTGAAGACAGACTTTTCTTTCCAATTCAGCAGAACCCTGAAAGCAGGAGCCAGGGACTACATTTTAGCAGCATAGTTCTACATAAATATGGATTGATATTATTTCCTGAGAAATACCACAAGAAAATTTGGACCTGTCAATACACACACAAATAGGCATGGAAATAGAGTATAGGTGAAGTCAAGGATAAAGTGTGCTGAGAGCTGGGACAGGGGGGACAGGGACTGGCTGAGGGGTTGTGTTATCAGTAGGAGGCCTTTAGGGAAGTCAGTGGACTCCCCAACACTTCAAGCTGTCTACTTGAAGATCCTCCAGAGTCATCAGTAAGGCCATATACAGACAGGAACAGAAAAGGACTTAAGAAAGTTGGACAGATACCATGCCCCGACCTGGGATGAGGCTGCTTGAAACCATTCAATTCTGCTAGCTCATGCTGAACAAATATTTATTTATTTATTATTATTATTATTTTTTTTTTAAAGATGACCGGTAAGGGGATCTTAACCCTTGACTTGGTGTTGTTAGCACCACGCTCAGCCAGTGAGCAAACCGGCCATCCCTATATGGGATCCAAACCCGTGGCCTTGGTGTTATCAGCACCGCACTCTCCCGAGTGAGCCACGGGCCGGCCCCTGAACAAATATTTAACAGAATACTTCATATATGGGTGCCTAGAAGAAGGAAAAACATCCAAGTTTTTTTGTGGTAGTGCAACTCATGGGAAATACTACCTCATGCTCAGAAGGCTGAGACTGAGCACCAGGCTCCCATACAGCACCCACTATGCTCACACACTAGGATCCAGAGTCTTCTTTTTTGGAAGGAGGCTCCAAGTTGTCCTCTTCTGGGTGCCTGAGTGTGGGAAAGGGCTGATGTAAGTCCCCACTCTAGCCCTCAGTTGTCAGCAGCAGCGCGGCTGGGTCTCTGAGGAACACCAGAGGTTTAACCACTGCTCAACTGCTCGGGTGCTGGTGGGGGCTGACTGAGGAGACACTGAAACACCAAAGCCACCGCCACCACCAGCTGATGCAAGTTTTATTGAGACAATGTACAAACAGGCCATGGAAACAAGGGTTTTTATGCTGGGACCAGTAACGTAAAATGGAATACAAAAATAAAAAGGCACTAATCTGTTAAGAAAAGACACTCGATGTGTTCTAAGAATATAAGTCATTTAATACTGTTAATTTTATAGCACAAAATAAAACAAGCTATGATCCCCAAAAATAATTTTAAAAGCTTACACAGAAAATATTATTGCCTGAAGTTTATGATCTTTAAGTTATAGGTCAAGAGTTTTATGTTGTTGTTGTTTTAAAACACACAGTGAAGACCGTCTAGAAGCAAGGCCACTGTTCCTCCTGTAGGGACAACGATCCTGTCTCAGAGAACTGTCCTTCCATTCCTTTAGAATATACAACCAGCTCAGTGTCCACACTGACAGCAGTTACCAGGGACATAGTTCTCTGGTCCCAGAGGGTGGAGTTTGAGGCAGAGCTCAGTGGTGTCCACAGAAAAGCATTAGTCATAGGTACTGTATTAAGACAATCAATAATTCGTTCATTTTAAGAGGTTAATGAACATAATATTAAAGGGTTAAATTATAAACACCTGGCACAAAACCATGTCATCCCTTTTCAAAAAAAAAAAATGTTCATATTCCTCTGAGCAAACATTACAAGAGCAGTGGCCATCTGTCTTAGGCCCGCCTTGTCTGTAAACAGCTGTAAAGGAAAGCTAGCACAGTGACAGGGATGCGTGAGCTCCAAGGAGGGTGTAGCTGTCCTTCCCTCCTTTCAGTTTTCCAACCATGAGCACAGAAGATGTTTAGCTTGGGTGACCAAAGTCATCAAATGGCAGCCAGTCAATGCATCCTCCTCTTCGTCAACCATGTCATCAGGTGGTAACACAGCACAGACATGACAGGGCAACACCTGTATTGGAGGTCCTTCCCAGGATAAACAACTTTTTAATGAAACTGTAAATGCCCTCTAGTACATAATTTGTTTCCTTCCCAGGTGAAAAACCATGCTGAGTTAATTTAACATCCAAATATTTTTTTAACACAGTAGAACACATCAAGTAGCAGTAATGAACAATCATAAAAGAAACCATCTGGGTCAGATATGCATTGCTCTATGAAGCACAAATGTCTTCCCAGACCAGTGGGGAACCCAGGCATGAAGCTGAGGCAGGGGTGCTGCTTTTCACATATTTAGTATGAAAAAGAGAAGTGCCCTGCCCCATTAAAAAACTAATAAGGTTCCAAGTCAAAAAGTTACTACTTTTGGCACATTTCTTGAAAGTTCAGAACTCAAGGTTCACCTTATTTTGAGCACTGAATCTCTCTCCTGGGCAGCCCTGGATACATTTACCTAGGCTAAAGTAATAAGCTGGTTCATTACGAAGCCAAACCCTAGGCTTATGGGGTGTTTTGATTCTGAAGTCCTGCACACAAGGTGGGTCTTGCTATTGCTCAGTGACATGGCTGAAAAGAAACCTTGCTTTCCAAAACAGCCACATACTTCTTTTGCTCTGAGCCAATCCTATCAAATTAAAAGGTGGAGCCCTTCAGCTAAATGTTTTTTTATTTTTTTAAATCTGGTTTTAAAAGGCCTTAGGGTTTGTGCTCTCTTTGAACAAGGCACACATTCCACCTTATGCTCAACTCCTCACTGAAGTGCAGGTGCCAACAAGGGTAAGGCTGAACTGGATCACTTGCAGAAAAGCAAGTGCTGTTTCAGGGCAGAGTTTGGGGACTCTATCACATGCCCACCACTTGTGGGTGCTAGGCTGGGCCTGAACTCAGAACAAGCTGACCAAACAGACCTAAACAGAAAAGGCAACCGCAACGGACAGACTTCACAGCAGGAGGTGGCCACAATTCTCACTGGTTAGGAAGATGGGCAACCATGTTGATATTTTTCCCTACTGACCATTAATTTTTTCAAAAGAACACTCTCAAGATTCTTTAATATGGTAGTTACCTGCTTGATGGAATACTGATTTAAAGAAAATTGGAAAAAGAAGAAAAGAAAAATGGTTGTTTCACTGGTTCTGTCACCAGAATATATTGCTCTAAGCCCAAAATCTAAGACTCTCCACAGACAGGGCCATAGTTATAGCAGATGCTCAGTAAATGACAGTTACTCATTAGGTTGTTGCTATATTTCTAGATCTGCTGTATGCATTCTGAGCTGAGGCTTGTCTTCACCAGGGCCCTGAAGGGAGAGCAGACTGAACTGAATAAAGATTCCAGAATTCTAGTCTGCTACATGCAACAGATGAGGGATAGGTCACACACATTGGTACCAGCTGGCTTGTATGAACAGACCTCTTTTAACTAAAAGGAAAAAGCTTTAACATCAACACACTGAGTTAATGGTAAATTGTTTAATGGTTCTCCCCAGTTACTAAAGCACTCGACAAACTCATTAACCAATTTCCAGAGTTTTCATTTCCTTTGCTTGGGAGCATCACAGACCCTTAAGACTGTGGAACCAGTATTAGCAGCACTATCTTTCTCTGACAGCCTGGTAAGGTTGGGCTGGGGGCAGGGAGGACTGGACTTCGGTGGGTATAATTTAATGATTTGATTTAATGATTCATTAATAAATCCAATGATTCTATGAAGAACCTCACTTTTTAAAAAATTTAAGTCCTGTACCTTAAAGGGTACATTCACTGAAAAGCTGGACAGAAAATTGGCCAAGTGCTCCACCACTCCCCCACCCCTGATCCTGTCACTGGCAAACAAGGCAAGCAAAGGTTTCCCTAAAGCACCCCCACTCTGATGCTTTGGGGGACAAAGTAATCCAAGAGGCTGTGCATGTAGCTTGGCACAGCATGACTGCTGATTTCTTTTGTGTTGTTTGCTATATGGCAAAACAAGGAACTACTGGCAACAAAGACAGTAGAGGCCTCTGCTTCAGGGTTCTTTTCATATTTCTTTAGTTACGAAGGCTCCAGTTTAGAAGCTCAGAGGGAGGTGTCATTCCTTGGACTATCATAAAAATCCAACCTGCTACTTAAAATCCTGTTCAGAACACACAAGTCTAATTAGTCTTCCAAAACCAAACCAAACCAAACCAAAAGAAAAGCTATATTTGGGGTGGGGGGTTTAGAATTGTCTCTTCCTTAAGGTTCATTTCCTATATTGTCCAAAGAAAAACAAGATGGCAGCTAAGCCACTGCTTTGTGGAACAGCAATGTGCACTATTTCACCACAGCCTCAAGCTTTCTCTGACGAAAATGACAGAATCAGTCCCAAGTACAAACAGGGCAATGATGAGAAGGAAGACCCTTTCCTTGTCAACTTCTCTCCACTTGTGTGCTTCCACTAGTATTTCCAGTTTATGATGCAAAAGAACTCTAAAATCGGCTATTCTTTGACAATACGACTATGATACAAATGCCATGAGGCAGCCACTGTGTGCATTCCAAATGTGTATGAGAGACTGCCAGTCTGCAGAAAGCTGGACGTCGGCAATGCAGTGTAACTTGCCTATGAGAGAGAATGCTTTCCCACTTCAAAGGAGACTATGACAGGCAGAACAACGAAGCAGCAGGAAGCAGGGCAACAGCAATCACTCGTTTTCTTCTGGGTTTTGAGGGTCAATGATTTTGACGTGTGTAAAGGGGAAAAGCCCTTTACGCCCATTCACCTCGCCTTCCCACTGGCCATTTATGTTCATCCTTGTGACTTTCACAATGTCACCAACCTGTAGGAATAAAGAAGACAAAGTTAGTATTTCTCTGCAAACAAGAAAAAGTTTACATTAAATCACAAATAATAAATCTGTAGGCTTTTTGTTTGTTCTTGGACTCCCCAGCCTCCAAAACTGTAAGAAATAAATGTTGTTTAAGCCCCCAAAAAATAAAAATAAATCACAAATAATATCCTATTCATAGGAAACTATTAAATGTTTTTTTCAGGGCTAATCTTTTTTTCAGGGCTTAGACCTAAAAATCAAGCAGTGCCAAAGGTAAGTCATTAGCAATAAGCCCAGTGCACGTCTCCTCAGTAGGCAAGAATGCATGACAAGAGAAGCAGCTCTGAGCACAAGGCGGCCTTTCCCTATCCCCATACTGGCTACCAACCCCAACAGGACAGAAATGAACTCATGACTCTCTGAGAACAGTTAAAGTCATACAAAAAGGTACATTAAAAAAAAAATCCATCTCCACTCAAATTTACATGGGATGGAATTGCTGTCGCCAAGATCTCTTTTACTAGGCCACCTCCCCTGAGCAGCAATGATGTCTCCCTGAGTTGTCCATTCCCTGCCCCCTCCGTGGTGCAGTTGTTGGGGGAAGGAAGCCCAGCTCTGAGAATCTTAAAACTGCAGGGTGACAAGAATTCTATTTATTGCCACAGGATAGGCACCAGTTAGGGGCTGGTCTGCTCATCAAGAAGGCAGGAATTTTATTTTGGAAGTGGTTTTCAAATTGTTCTGGACATCCACAGACTATAGGAAGGTGCTTTAAGGGTCCAGGGTCCAACAAATGTCTGACCGGGACTTCAATTTTTTAAAATTATATTTTATAAAGTTATAACATCTGACACATTAACTTGTGCTGCCCTGGTAAGCTGCTTTTTATGCAGACTTTCCTTGGAATGAAGCTTCTTCTGCCATGTGTCTTACTGAAGACTATCCCCAAAATATCTAAAGGCTTAAAAACATCTACCACCACTTGCAACAAAATAAAGTTAGAGGGGCCGGCCCGTGGCTCACTCGGGAGAGTGCGGTGCTGAAAACACCAAGGCCATGGGTTCGGATCCCATATAGGGATGGCCGGTTTGCTCACTGGGTGAGCGTGGTGCTGACAGCACCAAGTCAAGGGTTAAGATCCCCTTACCGGTCATCTTTTAGAAATAAATAAATAAATAAAGTTAGAAATAAAATGTATGCTGGGAGCTAACATAAGACTGCATCTGTCATTCCTAATGTTATTTCCTATCTCTCCTGCCCACTGTAACACTTAACTATTACCCCCAATTGCTTTTTTAAGTAATTCTTATAAATATCAACTCACAAAATACATTTATACTTAAACTTTTAAATCTGGCATATACTGGGGTTCTGTGCAACATTTCATGTTGAAAAGAGAGGTCTTTAGCTAAAGCTACTGGTCTAGCACATTGACTGTTTGCCTGGAGTCACCAAAGATCCTACAGTTGCTGAGTCAGCTTTAGAAGTCTGCTGCAAAAAGCTCAGGCCTTGCACAGTGAAGGCCAGCTCTGCTCTTGCCACTGTTGCTACTTTGACACAGGCCTCTGGCAAAGCCACACCTGCCTTTGCTTGTTACTAGATGGGTCACTGCACTGAGGACTGGACTCCGGGTGCCCAGAGAACATACATCTTGCCTTAAGTACATGATCTTAGACTGCCTTAGCTGATGTTTGATAAATGTGGAAGAGAACAAAATCTCACCCTCCTGAAAATCTTGCCCTGGGTAGCGCTCTCCTGCATCATCTTGGGTGAGCTCTTCCCTCCAGCCTAGGGGCTGTGAAGGTGCTCTCACCTCCTGCTAACTACTCCCACCTCCAGTTCCCCCAGACTCTCACTATCTGGCTGTACCTGGCCAGCAACCCTGCCCTGAGCCACCTGCTACAATCTATGTCGTCTCAGTCCAATCATCCCAACTCCCAGTCACCCTTCTCTCCTACAGCCAGACCCCACCCACCATACTGTGGCTATTGCTCCCACCATTTCACCAAGGATTTCCTGATGGCCCAAATCAACAGCCCGATTCCAGTTCCCTACTTCTTTTTTTTTTTTCCTTTTTGTCTTTTTTCGTGACCGGCCACGGGATCGCAACCCTCGATGTTGCTCCCACCCCTCGCTCAGCCAGTGAGTCTGTATGTGGGATCCGAACCCTCGGCAGGAGCGCCACCACGCTTCCCAAGCGGCGCACTACAGCAGTGCGCCACCAGGCCGGCCCTCCAGTTCCCTACTTCTATGATGTTCTGTGGCACCTGAAGTTGGAGACATCATCCAACCACCTCGCCTCCCTTCCCTCTGCCCTGCCCCTCCTTTTTGTGGTATTCTGTAAAATAACCCTGCCAGATAGGTACTTCCCATTTGGCATTTATGGAAAGCAAACCTCTATGAGGTCTAGCATTTTGGACTCCAGGATTCTGGCAGACACACCCAATGAAGCTCCATTCTCTGCTCCTCTACCACCACCTCCCCACCCCTAACACATACCACCACACAGCACTCTCTGAAGGAGGGAACCTGCTTTACTCATTTTGCACTCCACATATAATTTGGGTCTCTTGGAAACTACTTTCTGGAGAAGTCTGCAGAAGCAGGGAAAAGGGAGAAGAGAATAGGCTTATATCCCCCAGATGCTGGGAATAGATGGCCAAGCAAAAGAGCAAGCTTCTGGAGGACAGAAGTGGCAGGTGCAAGGGCCTAACGACAGTAGAAGACTGACTTTTTAAAATATAAATAGAACCAGATCAACATGATGCTTTTTAACACCCCTTCCCCCGCAACCCCTTCTTTCTGCGCAAGATTAACATCCAAACTCTGATCTTCAAGGCTCTGTCTGTCTGGCTCCTGCCTCTTTCCGTCTCTGACTTCATTTCATGCCACTCTGCCCCTCCCCTCCCATCACACTGGCTTCCTTTCTATTTCTCAAACTTGCCAAGCTCTTTCTCAGATATGAACTACGTGACAGATGTGAGGACAGGATGTGCTGGATATGCCATTATACTTTTAACATCTCAAGATGTTAAAAATCACATTCTAGGTTTTTGCCCAGAATTGCCAAGCTGGTACTAAGAAACCTTGAACCTCTGTTCCTGAACAGCTGAATAAACATAAGCAACCCTGACCAAAGCCAAACAAGTCCTAAGGAGCATCCAAGCCTCCTTATAAAGCCTCACATGCAGATAATGAGAGCATAAAGGACTTTCAGGTGGTAGCCATTGTAGATGGGTGTTTATTCTGCTCAAAGCACTAGGCTAGGTTCTTTATTGTGTACTTAGGATACATAAAGACATAAACTGGGGCCGGCCCATGGCTCACTCGGAGAGTGGGGTCCTGATAACACCAAGGCCACTGGTTCAGATTCTATATAGGGATGGCCGGTTAGCTCACTGGCTGAGCGTGGTGCTGACAACACCAAGTCAAGGGTTGAGATCACCTTACTGGTCATATTTAAAAAAAAAAAAAAAAAAAGGCATAAATTGAATACGGGACCTACCTAAAACTACAACAACAGGATGCAAGCTTTTGTCTGCTTAAAACAGGTATAAGGTGGCACAGTGTGGTGGCCCATGCCACGAACTTTGGGACATGGCAGGACTGGAAGAAATGTCTTGGTTCTACCACTTTTAGTGGCTACGTGACTGTGGCAAACTGCTCAAGTTCTCCAAGTTTCAGTTTCCTTCTGATTTTGGAAGGTTTTGAAATTATCAAATGAAGTCCTAGATGGGAATTGTTAACCTGAAAACCCAGCTAAGTAAATGGTAGCCATTATCTGAGTAGAGATGCCTGAGTCGAACTCAGCCCCCATGCCCTTCAGAAACACTGAGGGAAGAGTTGGAATCAACACTGAGAAGTACAGTACTGTGTTAATCAGCGGGTTTTCAGCCTTGTCAGTAACAAGGGTCCTCTCAAAACTGATGAGGGGACAGGAAGAATGGCATATTAGAATAAGAGATGAGAGACAGGCCAGAAAGCAGGTGGTCTAATAAATTACTGTGATGGATACTAAGCAGCTGAGGAAAACAATGGGAAGGTGGAGAAGGTTGGTCAGGTATTAAAAACTGCCAAGAACACTCAGACCTCATGCCTTCCAATTAACTTGCGATTCCGGTGGTCTTTACAGGATCCTTTCCACACAATTCTACCTAATCAATTTAATAAGTTTTACTGAACATCTACTGCATGGAAAATGAGCAGGTCAGCTCCTATCCTCAAGGAACTTCTTTGTTGTGGGATGGACACAAGCAATCCACTGTCCAGACATGGTAGATGCTCAATGAATGTTTGTTAGATAATAACACAGTGTAAAAAGCAGCAAGTGGCAGAAAAACAGTATTGAATCAACACTGCAGAGCACAGGAGCAAGGAGCAGCCTAGAAAGAGAGATTGGCTGAGCAACTTCTGATGTCTACTTGACCATTAAAAGCCTCATTCTGGCCTTGCAGGAGTTTTCACATGCCAAAACATAGCACATCATTCTTCATGCTGTTTTCTATCGCAATCCAAGGCCCTCTACATGGGGAACAAGCCCCAGAACATCAACACAGAAAAGATTCCTTGGCTATGTTATACAGCCTTCTGCCCAGTTACAGGCCTAGCTGTAGACCAGTTTCTTCTACAGCTCTTCCAAACAGTGCTCGGGCTAAGATCCTAAAATGGTCACTAGCTTTGCAGCCATCTTGCTGCTTCTCTCATCACTCTCTATTCTGGTATAGTGCCCTTCCCCTGGGTTTACAGTAGACGGATCCAGCCCAAAGAAGTACTCACTTTGGAGGGCAGATCAATTTTGAAGTGGTTAGGTATCAAGTTGGTTCAAGGAACAAACTAAGCCTAGAAGATGTGGCTGACCCTATCAGCAGATCAAGACAAGGTACGTACCTAATGCGTCATCTTTACTAATTCTCACCCTATGGAACAGGACAATCCTAATCATTACCAGAACTGTCAAAATACTATCTTTGTGCCTGGCTGCACTTGGCACTTGGGAGTGTACACATTAA